TCCGTTTTTCCTCTGATTTTTGCAAGAAAAATTCAGGGGATATTAGGCTCACCTTCCCCAATTCGACCCAAGCGGTTGTGTTGCAATTTTGTTGAAAACAGTGTTGCTGAATCAACTTCACCTATATATTGTGCCATTTTCAGTGGAGGCTGGTTTTAGGACTAATTTGGGCATGAACTTCCACCTTAGGATTTGCGTTTGTGGCATTTGTATTGGGTACACATCTCCTTCTTTGTTTGGTTTTAAATCTGGTCCGGTACAATGCAAGACTGGTCCTAAAAAATGCAGTTTTTCAAAACACAGAGAATTCGATTCCCAGAAGGATTAGGAAAATTTTGAAATTTCGCCCAATCATTTAGCATGGTTCAGCTATCCGTATGATGGATCCTAACCCTTCCAACACTCCCTCCCTCGCTTGCTCAACAAATTGTTGTCGCTTCCTCACCCACTTTATCCCTGATTTAATATGAAATCAAAAGCAATGGAGTTTTTGCATAAAACCAAAAGCATAGTGGGTGCAAATAGAAGACAAAGAATAAGGGTATTGATTGTGTGTGATATGACGACTCTCACTTGGCAGGTGACTCGGACACCGAGTTGGAAGTTTTCCTTGTCGGAAGCTGAGCTAGGCTTGGCCGAGCTAAGTTTAGTTGAACTGAATAGTTCTGCAAAAGAGCAATATTAGAGTGCCCAGGTTGTTTTTACCCAGGAAGCGCATTCCAATGCTTAAGTCGGCGAAGAGTTCTTGGAGAATTGGAATGCTTGGAAGTTCAAAGAGTGTGAGAGCTTAGTCGCATGTACCTTCTCTCAGGAGAATGATGCCTTTATATTGGTGTGAGGGATTAGAGACCTCTTATAAGGGGTCTTAGGTTCCTAAAGAGTCGTTTCCGCTAAGTTGGGAGAGAGTATCTCTGTCGGTTACGTAATCAGTGCAAAGAGCTGAAATCCGTCCGGTCGATTCTGATGCGGGTGATGCGGGTAGGTTGGCTTAACAGTCGAGCGTTATCCTTCCGGAGAACTCAGTCTGGTAACGGATCTATGTAATAGGTCGACAAGCACGCCTTGCAGGTTGCCACTTATACCCTTCTTAGCTCGATTGGTCGCTCCTTATATGGAGGTCCTTTAGATCGGCCAGGTCGAGGTGCTACTGACCAATCTACCGAGGTGATTTACTTACTCAGTGTCGAGACATCACTTGGATGCTATGTATCGTGATGTTATTCGAAGGACCAAATTACCCCTCATCAGATATATTTGTCTTTTTCAGATCCCTTTAGTGAGATGCACCGCTAGCATATCTATTAGCGGTGTTAGTCCATTTTAAAAAGAGAGGAGAGTTTTCAATATTTAGGAAAAATATCAAGAGATGTTCAAGTCTTTAACCCTTATTATTATTATTATTATATAAATATTACCTTTTACATTAATTGTTATAGGCATTCAAATATTAAATTGAATAAAATTATCAAATTACTTAAATATGGAACCAACCCATTTGCTCATCCTTAACTGGCCTGACTTTGAATTGGATGATGTCACAATAAGGTGTGACTACACTACCTTGAAAATAGTGTTTTCGCGGTTTTAGCACGAGGCTAAAACAAAGGCATAGCAGATTTAATAGCCTCTGCAGCAGCAGACCATGTGAAGGACGGAATGGAACATCTGAAATCAGTTGTTCTTCTTTTGGATCTATAATCTATTGGACCCCCTGTTACTATCTGTTGATTCATGTTTCTACCAGAACCATGATGTAATCATCATGTAAATTCAGTAACAGTGACGAACTATTAAGATGGAATCCAATTAATCGGATCGGATCGCAGCAACATCACAGCCCTACACATCCATGATCCATCTGTGTAATGTGTTGCAATCTGTTGGGATATAATCCAGGATTCATGCTATACAATAGTGGGTATTACATCTTTGATTCTGGTTTTCAGTAGGGATGTTAATGGGTCGGATTCGGTAGGGGTTTGCTGATGTATCTACGGGTCACATTTAGCATGGATTAATCTGACCCACTATCATGGTCCTTTGCCCCTAGTTTCCATGGTTGCAACAGAGGATATATGCTTACCAAAATTATTTTTCTTTTTGATGATGACGTCATAGAAGGAAGTTTAACATTAAATTCTTTGCATATTCTTGTGTTTACCTTATAAAATAAAAATAGAAAATTGTTTTCTCATCAATTGAGATGGTTCCAGAACCTTTGAGGACACTGAATTCCTAAGGCAGGATTAAGTCTTGATCAAAAGTTGATGTATTTGAAATCCCTTAGCCATGGGTTTGTTTGGTTAGCATCAAAAGATATGGTTGGAATTTCTGATGGGATTCTAATCGTTGACTAAAAAACGAGCAATTCTACAATCTACAGGGCAGAAACATGGTCATTGTACAAGTACCCCAAAAGCACTCCAATACATCATGTCTATTAAAATGTGATTATTTAGATTCTAATCATTCTGCTAATGTCTTGGTTGAATTGTGTGTTTATAACATAATTGATTATACAATTTGCATATGTTATCTAATTCAAGTATAAATAGGTCTGTCAAATGATGCCTGAAAAGACGTTTATGTAATGAGATGGGATTTGGATTTTGCTACATATACAATTCCATTAAAATCCGAATCTAATCTAAGTCTTTTTAGTATTTGATGGTGCACGATTTGAATGCTATTAGTTGCGAGGTAGTTTGGACGTTGGTCTATTTAGTTGACCGGTTGAACTGCAAAAGTAGAAGGCTTAGAGGACCGGGGGTGGTTTATTCGTTGTAGGTGCTCTCATGTTTAAGTTATAATTTGTGTACAAGCTAAAAATTTGTATGCTAGAAAGATAATGAGCAAATAATCGTGCATTACTTGTGATGTTGGGGTTGGTGCCCTTATTTAAGTGAGCTGCTATAGGTTTTATGAAACACCTTTGAGATCCCTAGCCCATGCTACTAGGAATTTGTTCTGCACCCAAAGATGGACTTCATGTGAATTGATAAGGCTTATCATGCTCGTCCGATTCGAGCGGGATAAAGAAAAGGCATGTAGACGTACGACGTGATGCCGAAGAGGTTAGAAACAGTTGGCTAGCTTTTAAAAGTTGATTACGTGTCACCTCGGCAGGTCGTGCCATTACAAGCTGCTTGAACCTCGGTCTTGGCTGAGGTGCCCGAGGTACCTGAATTGACCTGACCTGCTGAGATGGCAGGAAGCACTTAGTTGTCGTCTACTCAGCAGATCGCTTCCACGTGTCCAGGTGTTGATAAATCAAACTAAATTACCCCTCATCAGTATTAACATCAAATCTAAGGTCTTCAAATCCAATTGGATTTAAATATAAATTTTCAATAATTGGATCGGATTCAGATTCGACGAATCTGATCCACTTACAGGCCTAAGTACAAGGGTCTCTCTACAATCCAATTATAGAAGGCCATGAATATAATATTTTTAAAATTTTTACAGCCCCTTCTATCCAAGGTATAAAATATAAGTATAATATATTATTGTATTGATAAATTTGGATACGGATACATATCGCTCTATGCTTTAAATCCTACATATACATAAACAAATCAAAGGTTGAAATAATTATGAATTAAGGTATAAATATAAAAGATATGAACACTTTAATAATTTATATAAAGAAAAACATTATAATCAGCAGTACTAGCTAAGAATTTACAACAATAATTTATATAAACCGATTCGATTTTCGGTTTTTTTTGCTACAGCCATAGGAACTCAACTCTTAGCGGCATGAGAATTGTTTCATGCTTCTTCAATACAAACATCCAAACCGCAATGTTAATGGAGACATTTGCACACCAGACACCACCAACGTTAATGGAGACCCCGCCAATTCCATCAAAATCATTTGAACTACTACTTTGGTGGTTTCTAAATAAAAAGCAAAAACAGAAACAAGGATAAGATAGGGGCCTTTCCATTTGTGTACTATGCTAACTGTTTCCTACTTTTCACTTCACCGGACATTTGAAGGCGACACTTTAGAAATATATCTATGGGAATTACTTTATTTTACACAGTATTAATCAGGAGACTTTCTTACATGAGAACACACCCTAGAGGCCGTAGGATTGGAATTTAGCAACATTCTTCTCAATAGACAGACCGTTGGATGTTTGTGTTATCATTGTTCTAAAATTGCTTGGGTGGTATCTTTCAAATGTCCATTCATCCATCAAAGAGGAAAACAAGGAGGCAACGTGTCATTATCTGAATAAATAAAGAGCAAACTATGGGCTAAGTATTTTAGTATTTTACCAAAAGAAAACTATGGGCTATAAGTCGGCCCTACCCACCACCTACTCTTCCATCCATGATCCATGTATTCAGATGGGTGGAGTGTAGATGTACAAGTAGAACCCCACAATAAACATAAACATATAAAGAACCAGATTCATCGATTGAAAACAGCACCAGTCTGGATGCTCTGATCAAGTGGTCAACATTTAGCAGATCTGTTTAGTGGGACCCACAAACCCTTGGTGGCTTTGTCAAGGCTACCTTTTCCTTCCATAAGGATGATGCCTTGACACGCTGTAATTGACTTGGGTGTCCTATCCTTGCATCCAAACATTCGTGTATATCTTCACACACGTCAGATTTTAGTGCAACTGGACAGGTAATAGACACGTGTAATAGACAGAAGAGCCAGCGTGGCAGCTCATAAAATAATATATATATATATGAAAACAAAACTTCCAATTATCCATGGTTTTATCTCATTCTGTTTTTGCCACCTTGACAAATGGAAACCCAAACCCAATCGCCCATTCATCAATTGGTAGTTGTTACTTGTTAGGACTTGTTTCATGAATCTATGAAAATAAATACAGCTGTAAAAGCAAACAACACTAGCTGATTATCTTCTCTGTCACTTTCTGGATTGTTTGGAGATAAGAACAAGCAATAGCTGAGCTTTCCAACAGTGAAACTCTGACCTACATATATATATATAAATATCAAGAGACCGTAGGAAGGCTCATATAGTTGTATCATTTCTGATTCAAGATACTCAGTTATCAAGGTTGCTCCAAAATGGGTTCTTTAATGCCAGGATGGGATTCACTTGTAGATGATAGAGATGGTAATTCCTCTAACCTCACTTGATCTCTCGGATGTTTACAAGTTCCAGATTTGATTTTTAGTGGTTTCTGACTAGTGGGTCTTACAGAAAAATTTTCAAGAAGCAGATCCTTCACTAAAGAAGAAATTGAAGCTTACTGGAGATCAAAGAAGAAGACGGAGAAAGAACACCTCAAGGCCATCTCGGGTTTGCAAGATCAGAATCAGGTATAGTAAGTACTAGTGTCTATAGAATTTCAGTAATTCTAAAACTTCAGCTTTTCAAATTCTTACATGTCTGACCTCCCAGAGTCATCAGCAGTGACTCTTACTGAGTAACTTCCTTTTTATACATGGAAGGAAACGGATTGGAAAGCAAAACTGATTCTTATTTTCTATGATCAACACATCTTATTCATCCGTTGACTCTGTTCAACTAAGTCAAGCTCTTGATAACCATGACTCGTCGAATTTTTCATCCATCCTTGGTTCCTTCATTTGGAATAAACTTCTATGAATATGGACATTAGGTATGTGTTTGGTTTGATAGAAAATAAGACACAGAAAGTTGAGGGAAAGCTCTGAAGGATTTTCATGAATTTCCTTAAGAACTTCCCCTCAACTTTCTGTTTCTCTCTTATCTATCTATCAAGCCAAACGTATCCCAACTGCTCAGTATGTAACCAAGATTTGATTCAGAAAGTTCTCATTTCTCTCTATATGGATTATTACAGGAGATGGCAAATATGGATTCAGGAGGGGTGCTTCAGAGATCAAGCTCTGAAACAGATCTAGAGACGCTAATGAAGAAAATGGATTGGTGAGTCAATTTGTATTTAGTGATACAACCAAAGATCCATGATTTTAATTACTTCAATTTGTTTCCCTTATTTACATCCTTTATTTACTTGCTCAGGTGGACTAGGTGCGGTTCAGCATTTCTGAATGAACCTCCTGTAATAGATACAGAAGGCCGTGCCCACAAGTATAAATCTCAATACCATCTTACAGGCTTTCGCTTATCAAAACCAGATTTTCATCATGGAATAATCACATGAACAAAATACAACTACTAGTAAGAGCTGGCTGATGCCTTCAACAAGAGTTGCAGCTTTTAACAATCAAGGCTTTAGAAAAGAAAAAAAGGCAACCAGGGTGCTATGGAGTGTTTGTGTACAGAGTATGGTTTTGTTGGGGTTTTTACAATAAGCAATGTAATTATAATGTAAATGGGATTGTTGCATTTCTATATGAATTATAGTTATCGTTTTGGGATTTAATCCCAATGTATCAGGGTTGGGGGTTATGATTTTGGGGGATGAGCTACCCCCAGTTGTGTAGCCCCATAAATTAAAATACCAAAAAAAACAAAGGAAAAGTTATGGTTTTATCCCAAGCAAAAGATGTCAAGTGGTTGCCCTCACTGAAAAGTTTTTATAAGAGTCATTTCTCCTATTTACTAAAACTTATCTGATCATCTTTCTAGGGTTTTTATTTTGAAAATACGCCTAGTGGTTCACATATCAACCTTTTGGGAAACAATACCCTCCTAAATCTAAATTATATCTTGGTTTGGAGAAGTGGAATGTGCATATGATACGAGAACTGCTAAGGGCATTTTCAGAATTACAAAACCCCATACCCATGCCCTTTTACATTTCTCACTTGTTTTAAGAGGTCACATGACCATGTCCAAATTGCCAACTACTTCATCAACTCTACTTAATCTTTTACAAATAAATAAATAAATACTCTACTTAATCATGCCAACTGAAGAAGTTGTTCAACTACTTCAGGTGCCCATGTTTGGTGAGTAAAAGTGCAGAGCGCAGCTCGTGGAACTCCAGCTTGCTGCTCATATAATGCTGGGGAACAGGTCATGACTTGTGACAATCCAAGATCTTGGGTAAATCAAGTTTCACTAAGTTATTAATATTAGGGATGTTCACAGTCTGGTTAGGAGGTCTCACATCAAACCAAATCAGACCAAATTATTACGGTTTGGTCTAATTTCTAATGTGGTGTAGGCCATTCTCTTGAGCTTAATCTCATTAGAAAGCCCAAATAACAGCGTCAGGATACCCTATAAGCAAAAACTCTGCATACATTCTGCAAACATGGGAATCCATCCATACATTGGGAACATCTCCCCATGAATTTAACACACATGTACCAGAGATTTTCCCAGTGTCTACTGGATGCTATGTGTGTGGAATTTTTGCTTGCAGGATCCAAACTCCAAATAACAAATATAATCCAAATATCAAATTGAAATGTTAACAAGTGCCACCTATTATTATTATATAAGTTACATTTACAATTTCTCAAACATAAACAGTTACTTGGGCATCAAATTACAAGTTAAAAATTGAAACAAAACAATATATAAAATGTTAAATAAATATATACATAAATACATATTATCTATATATATATATATTATAATTAATAAATATATTATTATTAATCCAGTTTATAGTTTAGTCTGGTTTCTGAATTTTAGAAAATCGGAACAGACAAAAAAAAAATTATAATCTTAAAACTTCTCAAACCAAATCAAACAATTTTTAAGGCCAGACCAGACTAAACCACCAATTTTAGTTTGATTCAATGCAATTTCTCGGTCTGAATCAAATGATGAACATCCCCAATTATTATTATTATTATTAGTATTGTTGTTCTTTTCTCTATATGCTGCAAAGTCCGACCAATAAAATAACCGCATATATTGACATCCCCAATTATTATTATTAGTATCGTTGTTCTTTTCTCTGTATGCTGCAAAGTCCGAACAATAAAATAACCGCATATGTCACCAGTCCCTCTTGGTAAGTGGACTACGACCCATCCATTATTTCTAGCATAATACCGTTTCAAAGTTTAACATTCCGAGTTTGGTCTATAAATAATGATTGTTCAGAAAAAGTCGTTTACATCAATATTTAGTCAAAGTTTGGAAGAAGTATAAATACAAATATGTACAGTAAAAATATATATAAAATATAAGGTTTTGCATTCTACACATTTGTATTTTTATTCCTTTCAAACTAAGTTTAGGACTCAAGGAATATAAATACAAATATGTAGAATGCAAAACCTTGTATTTTATATTATTTTATATGTATTTATATTATACATTTTTGTATTTATACTATTGGGAAAAACATTCTAAAATATGATTGGATTTCGGTGTGTATTTATGCTTTCCCCACGTCTCTACAATGATTGAAAACTATTAACACTGGCCATCAAGAGAAGGGAGCGGCTGAAATATTTAAGTGAATTGAAAATACTTTTGGGTGATTTAGAGAAACTAAACACAGGCAGCTAATCTCTAATGCTCAGTTTGAAAGTACAAATGCAAATATGTAGTGTAAAACCTTATATATTATTTTGTATATATTGATACTGTAGATATTTGTATTTGTACTCTTTCCAAACCAATACATTTGTGTGGTCAACTAATTCTACTATCAAATTAAAAAAGAAATTTGTTGCTACAAATACAAGTTTGACAGTATTTTTCTTTTTTTTAGGATATTCAAAAAATTACATCAGCCCATGTACATTGAGAAGCTGTATAGTGGGAATGTAGAAGAGTATTTCTTTTGTATAAGACATCATACAAACAAGGAGTCGGTATCAAAGAGTTAAAATGAAAGCCTTGTTATGGCTTCTAGATGCTTAACCATCATTGGCATTCATCATGTCTTGGCTCTCAGTCAAGCCATGTGTTTAGGCCCGCCAAAGGCTGTGTTATTTTTGAGAGTAAAAGTGGACCAGGTGTTTTTTTTTTTGGATAAGCAAGAAATATATTTTATTTATTATTAAGGTTAAACCACAGAAAATTAGTACAATTTGGTGATGGGAGTGTCATTCCCAACTTTTAACCCCAAATTAATACAATTTTCAGTTCTAAGTTACATAGCCACCCAGAATAGTTACTGCCCCAAAGCCCCTTGTTTGGCAAGGGAATCAGCTAGCCCATTTGCACTCCTGACCCACTTGACTTCAGCCTTTACATCCATTACAATCTTTCCACTTCCCCAATCACATGTTTGAAAGTCCAAAGGGTGTGAATCCCAACTGTTTAGCTAGCTTGAGACCTTGTAGCAATGCCAGCAGTTCGTCCTTCAAAGACTTTCTGGTACCAATCGGCCCTGAAAACAAAGCCAAGATCCTCCTTTCAGAATTTCTGATTACTCTCATACCAGGTGTAAATTTTGCATCACAAAAACCTTTATAGCAGTAAAATTTACACTGAAATCACATCCTTTGCATCTCCATGCGGTGTGAATTTTGCATCCCAAATGGTGATGCAGAATTTTTTTCCCCTTCATTCCCTCCCATATAGGGTGGGGGACCATTATTTCACATTTTACTTCCTTCCAGACAAACAAGTCGAAGTGTAATCTGAATCAAAGTGAACAAAGATTTTATTTGCCTTCATTTTACTTCTTTAATACTTTACCTGGTGCAAACAAAATTTATACTGGAAACAAATGCAGCCAAAAGAGATAGGGATGCCATTTTGTGGAAAAGATATTCCAGCTTTGCCATTGCAAGAGAACAAACAAGAAGAATGGAGTAGCTATTCAACATACGAGAAAGAAACTGAGAAAAATAGTTAATACCAAAAACACATAGGACATAGAATGCTCAAAAGAATAAAAAGAAAAATAATCTAAACACAGGCAGGTGATTTGCCAATGATGATGTTTGGAAATAAATTGGTTGTAGACAGGCTTAATCGGATTAGCTGAATGCTTTAGCTGTTCAGCGGGCTGTAGAACCAATGATGAGGTTCCACACCAGTAATAAATTCATGGGCCCCACTGTAAAGATGCGGGCCCCATGTATCTAAATACTGGCGTGGAACCTTATCATTGGTTCCACATCTCGCTGAACAGCTAAAGCATTCAGCTAAACCTTGCTCAGCTTAATCAAATTTAAGTTGCATTGCATCACATTGGATAAACTGAAGCATACACACAAAGTCGTGCCCAGGTTGAATTACCATTCCCTATTAAAAAGTGTCAGGTAACAGAGACAAAATAGTATACCATAAATTACCAAACCCAGGATCACTTGTGGAGGTGTCAGGTTAATATGGATGCCAAAAACCCTTGAATAATGTGGTACTGGAACTACTCCAGTTCACAAAATATTAAGATCTTTTTAATACGTAACCATAGTGATTTCATTAATAAACTCCTTACTACCCAAAATAAGTGGATAGCAGACCAAGTAGATACAGAGCCAGCTTTAGGTTAAAAAAGAGTATTCAATTTATCCATGTGAAAGAAATGAGTAATAATCTCGAAATTTGGAGGTTGACTATTAATATAGGTTCTTCTTTTGCTGGCAGATTATTAAAATATGTCCTTTACTATATACAATATAGATTTAATGAGGGCAAAGGATCCCTCATGTTGAAGGGCACTCTTATGATATCAGACTAGAGTTTGTTTAGCACCACACCCCACCTTTTATTGTCTTTTTAGTCCCATCTGAAACCAAGCCAGTGATTAAAAGATCCAATTCATGTTCCTTAGACTTCCCATAAAGGAGAAGAACATAATATTCATAATGATTTGAACAATGAATCTTCTTATGTTATAATGAGCATGCACAAATGCATCTCACAGTCTAGTTCAAATAAGTTGTTTAGAGATTATTTGAAATAAATTCCATGCTATCCGGACCATTAAAAGACCAAGGATAAAATCTGGCATTATTGTATTGGTTTGAAGGATCAGGCTAGCTATATGACCCTCTCGAACATAGGCTCTACAATAGCATAGAAATATTTCAAATAATAAACATATTCCAACTAGACAAACTTGGTGGAGATAGGATATCTCATTTTCTAAGATAAACATGAAGGCCCAAGTACAAGAGTGATGGTTGGTGGCTGTGATGGATCCCCAGCTTCAACTCTACTGTAACATCTACCAAATAGCAATTCAAAACAAAAACATCCGAATAAGGGGGCAAACCCATGTCAAACAATGCACGATTGCAAAGAAAGACACACTCTTCTCTGAAATGCAATTCAGATCACATTCTTATCTGAAATGCTTGTATACATGCACAATAGACTTGAAACTATGCATCATTGCAAAAACAATCATTGTACCAAGTAATGGAATGTACATAAAAGGGAATTAGAATTTACCTCTAGCAGTTAAAGGGATCACCTGGCAGTTCATCAAACAGGTTCAGATGATGGCATGAGCTTTGATGTCTGGCTCGCATTGTTGATACATTCCTTCAAGAATTTTTGAAGCTCTTCGGCATATATGTGAGGGAAAGTCCTATAATGGTCTACATGCGGTGATGTGTGAAAGTTATATGCCAATATGTTTCTCCCCATCCCTTTCTGGTATTCAATAAATAACTCTACTGACTCAAATGGAATGACTTTGTCAGCTGTGCTATACAGATATAGCTGAGGACAAGAAGGCTGGTTGTTCAAAAGGACATTGATGATCCTGTTTAACCTCCTGTGACAGTATAGAATCAACCACAGAAATTAGTCATATTAATATTTTGGACAATTTGGTCATCTCCTGCATAGACTTTAAAATTAAACATATTACATACTGATTCACATCAGGAATCTTGAGGATAACAGAGAAGAACTTGTTCAAGATGGTCAGAAGTGCAGCCTCAATCAGTGGTGTCTCTGCTTGCATCTTTGATGTGATCTTATCATTCTCTGATCCATTTCCTTCTACAGCTTCCTCCGAATAGTATGTTGAAGAGCTGCGTTTCTTCAGAATTGCAGCTGAAAATCCTGCTGCCCAGACCTATCAAGAATCAGAGAGAATGCATCAAAAATGTATCCAACTGCATCGCACTTCTGATAGAGTAGGAAAGTCAGCATAATGGAGTACTAAACATGTCATCAAATTGCAGGATTTAATCAGCAACTTCAGAACAAATGTATAGAGAGCATATTCAAGTTGAATGGTCTTGAATTCAGAATAATATTTCCCTTCTCAGATTGCTGCACATAATTCTGATCTTGTATTCTTTGGATATCATAGTGCAAAAATGAGTTAATTAGTCTTTAGTGTATCTCACTTTTGATTTAGTAAATCACAATTTAATATTACTCATAGCTGATTAATATGGTCAGAAACAATCATGAAGATGCAGGGACAAGAAACAACATTATTGAAAAAGCAACATAAAAGGCATCCTTGGCAAAGTGAATGTTAAGATAAATAGTCTCAAAGGTCAGCATCAAGTTTCAGAAGCAACAATTAACATCCAGAGGTTACTAATAATTCCATTGACATTGTAGGATCCTAAGGGGAAAAGACTCTTGGTCAAATATCAGAACAATTAGACATCTGGGAGGAAGTTTAAGTATTTATAAAAATAGAAAGGCACACTAATTTTTGCATGGAAATTTTTGTAAAGATTCAAGAAAGAAAGTTTTGCTACTTATAAAGGGAAGCAAAGAACAGAAAAGAGAAAAATAAAGATTAGTAAGTTCCAACCTAACAAGACAATGTTCCAGAAAGAAAAATTATAAAACCTGAGGGTTTATTTCTGGGTCCCCTCCAGAATCAATGATGCATCCTTTGATCCTCTGAAGAGTGTCAGCTCTGCATTGCAAGTTGTTGATTATGGCACCATAGCTGCAGATACAACAAAAAGATTGCTCTTAAATAAAGCAATTATATACATATGAGATAACCAGGAATCTACTCTCCTATTTTTTACCAAAAAAAATAAAAAACAGGAATCAACTAAACAATTAAATTTACTGTCAAAAAAGAGAAAAGAATATATTGCACCTTTAGAAAGAGGGAAAGAAAGACACCAAGAAATGCAAGTAAGAACCACCAACAGAATTATCAAGAAGAAAAAAAGAAGGCAGTAAATAGGATAAAAGTGAATAGCTTCCTGAAAGAAGAACTGCAAGGCAAATCGCTTTGTTTTTTTTTTTTTTTTTGAAATTCAAATCACAAATGGAGATATTACCTTTTGAAGAGAATGGAACAATATTCTTCACACCTGATAGGAACATGCTTATGTTATTGTAGAAATAGTTAGTAAGCCATGAGTGTGGGGTTCCATACCCACACTTAGGCTCTAGTGTGTGAGATTCCATACCCACACCTAGTTATTTTAATTCTAGTTATTTTTTAATTCTTTTTAAGTTGGGCCGGCGGGTCTTATCCATGTTTTGTTTTGTTTTATTAGGACTAGAATTTTATCTTTTATCTCCTATGCTTGTAAGGAACCAAAGCTATATAATGAAGTTTATGGGGCGGCAGAATTAACACAACCGGACCCCTTCTTTCTATCTCTCTTCTCCTTCCTTTCTCTCTCTCTTCTTCTCTTCAAACCTGTGTTTCTCTTCTTAAATTACACAGCAGCATTTTGTTTTATTCAAGTTGGTATCAAAGCCTGATCTAGGGCTTCTCATGTGAAGTCTAACCCAGCCGACCACATGAGAATTATCTAGGGCTGGAAGATTAGAAAGGAGCTATCTTTGCCTGATTCTTGGAGGTTACCAGAGATCTTTAGCAGCCGTCCGAAGATTGGAGAGTGTTTTTTGGTAATCAGGAAGAATCAGAGAAGGTTAGAGGAATCAAGATTGGATTTTTATCAAGATTGAAGGTGGCGATCAGAGTTTTCTGGTAGAAAATTAGTCTTTTTCATCTTGGAGCTTTGTGATCTACTTAGTATGGAAAAGGTTGGAAGTGAGGTAAAAAACTCAAGAGGAAGTTTATGGGACTGGTAACATGACAGAAAATACGTCCCAGATTACCACTATTAGGTTTGATGGAACAAATTACTTGGAATGGGCCCAATCGGCAATGATGGCCATTGGTGCATAGAAAAATTAGGGTATGTGACCGGAGACACAAAAGAACCAGCCAAGTAGGATATACCCCATCCAAAATGGGTTCAAGAGAACTACTTGGCAATGACCTGGCTATGCAACTCTATACAGCGCTACATCAGCCGAAACTATCTCTGGGCAAAAACAGCCAAGGAGATTTGGAACATCATGAAGGAGACCTATTCCCAACCCCTTAATGTTGCTAGAGCTTATGAGTTGAAGTGTGAGGTGAAAAACCTCAAGCAAGGAGAGAAGCCAGTCTCAGTATATTTTGCTACTCTGAAATCCCTTTGGCATGAAATTGATCACTTGGAAACTATTGAATGGGAAAGCCAGAAGGATGCAGCAACATACAGAAAACTGATTGAAACAAATAGGGTTTTTGAGTTCTTAGCCGGTCTAAACTCAGATTTTGATATTACAAGACAACAACTTCTCACTAGGGAGAGTGTGACTCTATCTCAGGCCTACTCATTAGTCCACAGTGAAGAGAGTAGGAGGAGGGTAATGCTATCCCACAGAAGCAGCCTTGGCAGCAATAAAATTCAAAGCTGGAGGGGAAAAGGAAAGGGAAGTTAAGAAGGTAGACAAAAGAGATATTTTTTGTGATCACTGCAAGAAGCCCAAACACACTAGGGACACCTGTTGGAAGTTGCATCCTCACCTAATGCCAGCTAGACTTAGAAACAATAAGGGGAGTACTAATGCAGCTACTACTGACAATACATCTTCTTCCAGCACAAGGACCACATCCTTGGATGCCTTAGCACACTAACACAGCTAAAGAAAGAAGCTAGTATTTCTGGATCTACATCTCAGTCTTCAGCTACTACTCCTGCTCATCCTACTTCAGCCCTTGCTCATACAGGTACAAGAGCTACTGCATGTCATGCTTCTGTCCTAGGTAACACTAGACCTTTCTGGGTAATAGATTCAGGTGCTTTAGACCATATGACCAGCTTATCTACTTTGTTTAGCACCTATTGTTTATCCTCTGGGAGAGACAAAGTTTCTATTGTTGATGGCTCCCTTGTGCCAATTTCTGGCAAGGGAGACATCAGATTGTCTGATGCCATCACCCTATCCTCAGTTTTGCATGTTCCCAAGCTTAGTGCTAACTTACTTTCAGTTAGTAGTATTACTAAATATCAAAACTGTTCAGTAACCTTTTTCCCTGATAGGTGTGTTTTTCAGGATTTGGAAACGAAGAAGGTAATTGGAATTGGCTGTGAGATGAATGGAGTCTACCTGTTTGAACATTCATAGGGGGAGCAGAGTAAAATGGGGAAATTGTTTGTCTCTCAGTCTTGTAGTAAGATTATGCTTTGGCACAACCGCTTAGGTCATTTATCTTTTGGGTCTTTGAAGAGTCTTTTTTCAAACTTATTTGAGTCAGTAGAAATATCTAGTTTAAAGTGTGAAAATTGTAAGCTTGCAAAACATAGTAGATCACCTTATCCTTTGAGTAATAAAAGAAGCAACCTTCCTTTTGAAATTGTGCATACCGATGTTTGGGGGCCATATCATACTCTCACCATGGGGCGGTACAGATATTTCTTATTATTTGTTGATGATTATACCCGTTTTTCATGGGTCTACCTTATGCACTCTCAAAATGAGGTCCCTTCTCTAACCCAAGCTTTCCATCAGATGGTTCTAACCTAGTTTGAAACCAAGATCAAAACTCTTAGATCTGATAATGCCAAGGAATATTTTGCAAAACCCTTGGCATCCTATCTCCTTGATCATGGGGTCATTCATCAGAGCACCTATCCTCATACACCTCAGCAAAACGGGATTGCTGAGAGAAAAAACAGGCATATCTTAGAGGTAGCCAGAAGCATCATGCTCAACTCTAATGTTCCCATACGCTTCTGGGGGGATGCAATCTGTACAGCCGTGTACCTTATCAACAAGGTTCCTTCATGGGTTCTAAACATGCAAACCCCATTCAGTCTTCTGTATCCAGATAAGGACCTATTCACTATTCCCCTCAAAACTTTTGGGTGCACTTGTTTTGTTCAAATCCTTGGACCTCATTTTTTTTATCAGAAACGATAACTTTCATTAGAGATAAATTAAACTGAAATACAGAATTCAACCCTTTTTAGAAAAGGTTGATCCAATAAACATCAAAGTTTGATGTTTATTGGACCTCATCGCTCCAAGTTTGATCCCAAAGCTACTAAATGTATTTTCCTTGGGTATGCACAAAATCAAAAAGGATATTGTTGTTATGAGCCTATTTCAAGAAAGCGTTTTGTGTCCATGGATGCCACCTTTTTTGAGGATATGTCTTACTATTATAGGGCTTCTCCTTAGGGGGAGAGTAGTGAGGAAGGGATTTCAGTTTCAGCCCCAAAAGTTCCTTTACCTGTCCCAGTTACTGAAGGGGAGAGATGTGAAGAGGGTGAGGGTTGTCAAAAAAGCAGAGAGTTGAGAGTGTATCACAGAAAGTGATGGAGGCAGGTTGATTCTCATGCTCAACAGTAATCCAGGTCAATTCCAACATCTTCTACAGCCCCAGATCCAGACACTACTACTGCTCCCACAGTTGATCCCACTATTACAGATGCTCAATCCTCACCGTCAGATGACCTTGATCTTCCAATTGCAATTCGTAAAGGAAAGCGCAGTTGCACCTCATCCATTGCCCATTGCATCTCAAAGTTCCTTTCCTATAATTGTCTCTCAGAATCCTATAGATCTTACTTGGCATCTATTGTTACTATTCCTATACCCAGAAAAGTGCAAGAAGCCCTTTTGATACCTGAATGGAAGGAAGCAATGCAAGTATAGATGGATGCTCTTGTTAAGAACAACACATGGGAACTAGTTGACCAGCCTGAAGGGAAGAAGCCTGTTGGATGCAGATGGGTGTTTACTGTGAAATATAATGCTGATGGTACTGTAGAGAGGTTATAAGGCCAAATTGGTTGCAAAGGGATTCACACAAACTTATGACATAGATTATACAGAAACCTTTGCACCTATTGCAAAAATGAACACTATCAGAGTTTTACTATCCATTGCTGCGAACTTCTCATGGCCACTATTTCAGCTGGATGTTAAGAATGCTTTCCTCAACGGAGACTTGCAAGAGGAAGTATACATGGAGTTATCCCCTGGTTTTTATAGTACAGAAGCAGGAAAGAATGTCTGCCTTTTGAAAAGGCCTTATATGGGATGAAACAATCTCCAAGAGCTTGGTTTGATAGGTTTAGACTGACTTTGGACAAATTCGGATACATACAGGCTCAGTCAGATCACACTATCTTCTTTAAGAAGACAGGTCATTCCCTAACTCTACTTGCAATCTATGTAGATGACATTGTGATAACAGGGAGTGATATTAGTGAAATTGAAACTCTTAAACAGCATCTTCACAAGGAATTTGAAGTAAAAGACCTAGGGGAATTGCACTATTTCCTAGGAATTGAAGTAGCTCGATCTCAGCATGGCATTTTTATCTCTCAAATGAAGTATGTTCTAGACTTATTGGAAGAAACTGGAAAGTTAGGAGAGAAACCTGCTGACACACCTGAGCTTAACCATAAAATAAGTGCAGAAAATGGAGAACTTCTTGAGGACAGGGCTATGTACCAAAGGCTGGTTGGGAAACTTCTTTAACCATAAAATAAGTTTTGTTCATGTTCTTTTGCCGAGTGATGCAACTAGGAATGGTCCGGTTGGGTATTTTGAATTATAATTCTTTGCTTCATGGTGATATCTAAGCATGTAGGAAGCAGAGCTTATAGTTCACAATTGCTGTATTTTATCAATTTCAATCCATGATAGTGGGGTCAATTACATCTCCAAATCCTCTAGCCAGGACTTCCGTCAAAAGATCTTTTGGGTTAACTCACGATTTTGAATGGGTGGAAGACCCACCACCATCGCAGCTTAAGGTATCGTTAACAAGAGTTCAATATCATCTCAGAGAAGAAATTTGTTATAAAATCGAGGAAAACAGAAAGATAAGCATAAACAGCCATAGCAATAGATAAACACTTAAGAGAAAAAAACAATTAAGAGTACGAATCAACGTACGCTAGCCACCCAGTATTACTGAAAGTATGGAAGAGCAAGCACCGCTCGCGTCCATCTTCTTCCCGCTCAGACGCCCACGAAACGAGCTCCTCAGTCAACGCCGATATCCGTTTCTCGACTCTCCTTCCCAAATCAAAGTGCAGCACATCCTTCACCGGCACAACGAACGTCACTGCGTGAATCCCCCTCGACGTGTACAACTCCACGTACCTCTTCAAGTGCTTCCGCTTAGCTCCAAGCCAACCTAACAAAACCACAGTCAAAACAGGTTCTCCTTTTCCTATAGCCCCTAAATCTCCGCCATTAACACATACTGGAGCTCGACTCCACTCGAAGATCTTCTCCTTCGGATCAGAGACGATACGATCAAAACGCTTGTCCGAAACCCGAGAGTTAAAGATCTGAGATGCAGACAATGAAAGAAGAAACCCTAATGAATTCGAATTACAGAAGGGGATCGAAGATTGAGAAACGAAGAATGATTTAGACTGAAAGCAAATGGCATGAAGACGATTCCTGACGACGACATTGTGACAACGGCCCGAAACGAATGGGATTGAAGAGAGAAATATGTTAGGGTTTTGTGAGCGGTTTGAAAGCGACAAAGAATGTTTTAGCGGGAATTTCAGAGATTTTCTGATGATAACGGAACGAGAAAGTTGGCGGTTGAAATTGGAAGGATTCAACAGTCTTGCAGAGGCCTCCATAGCGAATACGAAAAATCACAGAAGCCGTGAATAGAAAACCAGTTTCTTTATATTATTTTATTTTTTGAACGTATCGGGTCGTTAACCGAGACGATACGAGTACGACACGCACATTTTTTTTCAACCTGTGATGTTTTAACAGCTGGGTAACGTGAAAAAACGTCTGCTTATCGTAGAACCGATTCGAACCTTTCCCGGAAAGAAAAAACGAACGTGACTAGCCGGACTATTTCTCTTTTTCTCCGATTGATTTTAAAAAGTTGGGTGCAATACGAGGACTTTCCGATAGGTTATTCATCCTAGTATTATTCTTGCCCGTTCACACTTAACTTCAGAGTTTTGAAGGTATCCTATGCATTAGTGCCTTGAACTATTTTTTCTAGTGACACTAAGAGTATGTTAGTTTGTTGTGTCTGAAAGTATAATAATTATATTAAGAGGTATATTTGTATCGGTGAATTTTTATTTCCTTTGAATTTTGAATGCTTGTTTTGAATTCTAAAAATTATCAAATATTCATTTTGATCCCATATATGAGATTTTTTGTTTGTCTTTTTTGGGGGTATCATTGAAAAACAAAAAGTTTTATAATTGCACTTTAAGAGATAAGAGATAAGAGGAAACGAACAATCACTTTTCTCTTAAAGCTAAAAGTTTCATTTTAAGAGATAAGAGTTAAGAGAAAACAAATAGACCCTAAGGCCGTGTTTGGTTGCAGTGTAATTTTATTTGCACTAGTACAAATGCATAGGAGTACAAATGAAAAAAATACAAATTCTCATTTAACTTTATTTTGAGTTTTACTTTATTCTGCTTCATGTCTTAATTTACTTCATTTGTATTGTAATCAAACAAGGTAAACTAAAATTTGAAATAAAAAATAGGTTAGAGTTTACACTCAAATCATTTGCACTACCATAATTTGCATCAATATAAATTTGTTTTCATTGTAACCAAACATAGCCTAAGGCTCATTTTGAAAGGAGAATAAATACAAATTTGTATAGTATAAATACGTATAAAATAATATAAAATATAAGGTTTTACACTCTACATATTTGTATTTATACTCCTTCCAAACTGAGCTCAAGATATAAATTTTCAAGTGCAGCATTTTAGTACCTAAACTTTTAAAAATATACACTTGAATCTAATTTTATTAAAACTAATGTTATAGTAAGAATAAAATTAGAAAATGCCCATATTCAAATTTTCTTTTTTAAATGTTATAGATTTTATTTTGAATTCTCCACGAGATACATAGTGAATAGGGGAGTTAGATATGGTAGACATGGGGTCAATCATGATAGTAAAGGCCTTCTTAAAACAATGATTTTAGATCGTGCTAGTGGTACGGAATTACGGGGAGCATGCAAAATAGGTGGACATAGATGAGGTGGTCCTCAAAAATTTACATATTGTGGAGCTAATGGACACAATCAATTGCTGCTATGGTTTGCATTGTCTAACTTCTAGTTGGGCTAGTGATGTTGTTCCTATTGATAATTCATCCAATATAAAGACTCCCTCGATCAGGGATGAACATTTGGTTTATTCGGCTAAAAATTGAATTAAATAAATCGAATTTTTGAAAAACAAATTTATAAAGCTAAAACCGAAATCAAATTATTAAAAAATCAAAAAAACTGAAACTGAATTTTTCGATTCAGTTTTTTGTTATTTAGGTTAAAATTGAATTTTATTAATATTATATTAATACATATTATATATTAATATATTTATGTATGTTACAATATATGTATATGTTAATGTATATTATATACATATTATAATATATTATGTTTTATAAATTAATAATATATTATATTATGTATATAATAAATTTCAGTTAGTTCAGTTTTTTTTTTCAGTTAACTGAATTTCTAATCCTAAAAGCCGAATCCGAAACCAAATTAACCAAACCAAAATAACAGAAAATCAAAAAAACTGAATCAAACAAACCGAAATCGAAAATTTCGATTTAATTTTTCAGTTTTAACCAAACAATGCTCACCCCTACCCTCAATTGATTTATCTATGCACTCTAGGCGGAGAGGTAGGGAAGGAGTAGATGGTACTTGTGTAATGTAAAGAGTATGACAAACTCCATAATTCAAAATGCTACAATTTTATCAGAGTTTTTTTTTTCTAAACAAAATTAGGTATTGTTTGCCTTAACTCTCAGCCTAAGTTTTTGGGTTACAAGTCAAATTACTTGAAGAAGTACAACTACATCAGTGGGTTCGGGCCCATTAAGAATTTAACAAATTCACAACCCAATCCAACCTAAGTTGCACCTCTTCTACCAAGTTCCCATTTTAGGTCATTGAGATTATATGCTTGAAACTCTAGGCATTTTTTCTTTCCTATCTCCCCATTCATTTCTATTAAGGTCGTGCCTCAACCGATCAAAGTCACCATGTGGATGTTGTCATATCCTAGGCCATCTGACTTCCTCGAACCACGTTAGCAAATTAGTACGTCACATACCGGAGATAGTGGACAATCCCATAAGCGATACCCTCAGAGGAAGTGTAATCTCTCATGGATAAGCATCCAACATGATCCTTAGGAATAAACGCCCCTATCCGGGAAGGCGGAGTCTTTTGAAGATCTTGGCGAGCGGCCTCTTCCCTACAACCCCACAAGGAGTATGTCCAAGTGCACCACAACACTTGGTTATTTAAAGGCATCCCCCCAAGGCTTATTATCTTTAGCTCTCTCACTCTCACACATCTTCCTCGGCTCAAACTAGTTCATCCTAAATAGCTCGGCCCGATCGATCTCATTACCCTTTTCTGACTTGAGTGTCGGAGTATCTTCCCTAGGAACTTCATCCTCGAGCCTCTGACATTACTTTCCTTGTAGATTTGCTCGATACACCACTTCGTCCTTCTACCTCGTCTCATCCAAATTGATAGGATCATTTGTTGCATATCTGCCACAGCTATAGCTTGAATAGTATAGCATCAGTCACACTAACTAATGACACTACTCTCTACTACTTCTAGTTTAGGTAGTCCCATTTGATCTTAACCTTACCTTACCCTTGGTTTACATGTCTCTATATTTGTTTTCGATTTGATGTCTATAGTAAAATTAACTAAATACCTTAGTTGTTCTATATCATTTTATCCTTCCTACTATGTGTTCTAAGATCTCAAGGATGGAAAAATAACTAGTGAAAGGATGTTAGTTGTGCTAATCAATGTTTAGAGAACCAAACTAGAGGCTAAATAGTTTTTCCCTTTGGGTCATGGGTCACCGGTTCAATCACTCAATACACAACCTGTGATACATCATCATATAGATATATAATATGATATGTATATGCCATTATGCATAAGTATATAATATATACATAATAATATTAACTATATACATATATTCAAAATATATGATTATATTTTATATAAAATACACATTTTTATTTTAGGCTTAACTAAAAATTAACATTTGAGGTCAAAGAGGCATTTTTTGGCAAAAAAGTGGGAAAAGTCACCTATGGCACTTTGGGATGCATAAATTATGAAAATTTACCCAAAAAAAAAAAAACCCAATCAAACAATCGGCGTGAAGTTATGGCTTCTGTAAATTAAAAAAAAAAAAAAAAAGATGAATAAAAACTGGCCGGTTAGCTAGTTTTGACTAGTTTTTAGAGCCTAATCAAACTGGTCGGTAAACCAGTTTATGGATTTTATCAATCAGAGTAGCCAATTTGGTCCAGCGTGTGGCGAGACATTGAAGGTGCTTTATTCTTTAGGCTCAGTTTAGAAAGAGTAAAAATATAAATACATATAAAATAATACAAAATGTATGGTTTTGTACTTTACATATTTGTATTTGTACTCCTTCCAAACTAAGTTTGAAATGTTAAACTCAGTTTGAAAGGAGTACAAATACAAATATGTAGAGTGCAAAACCTTATATTTTGTATTATTTTGTATGTATTTGCATTGTACATATTTACATTTATACTACTTCTAAATTAAACTAAAAGGAATACAAATACAAATATATATATATATAAAATAATACAAAATACAAGGATTTGTACTACATCCTAACTGAGCCTTAGTTACATTTCATCAATGGTCTTATTAATTGGGACATACTTTTCTCCAACTCTTGAAGTAGTTAATTCTAGTTTCAAGCACTAATTTTGGTTGTAGGGATACAGACGATTCGATTAATGAAACCTGAAATCTGAATTTGATCTGAAATATAATTGGAATTGAAGATGGAATTCAAATCTTATCGGATTCAAAATGAATGACTCTACTTCATTTTTTAAATAAAGAAAATTTTAAAATGTTATGTTTTAAACTTATATATAATAAGTTAATAGAAATATGAAGTATTGATATATAAAATTATATTATTTTTATATTTCATATACAATTAAATAAATTTTATATATTAATTAAAATCAATATATATTATAATATAATATACTTATACTTGGATTTTAATAGGATCTTATGGATTTAAATTCACATTCAATCTGATTATTAATCAGATAAAGATTATAAAATTCGAATCCAATCTGATTGTATGTTAATAGATCATCCAAATCCAGGATAATCAGATCGATGACGGACATTTTGGAGTCCACTGACCGCTAGTTAATTGTGCTAATTGAGTAAGGCCATGTTTGGGAGTGCTTATGTTAAAAATAAGTGCTTATTCGAATAAGCACTAATTTGCATTTGGCACCCAACTAGGGGTGTCGATAGGATTGGATTTGGTCCAATCCAATCACGTCCAATGTGAATCCATTACAAATGGATTAGGTCCAATCCAATCCAATGAATAATTTGGACCATTTTGGACCGGTCCAAATCAATGTTCGGACTGTCCAATTTGTTCAAATTCATTTTAATTTAGATTGGTTTCAACACAAACCCGGTCCATTGACACCTATATTATTATCTTATACCAATGGACCGGATATTGGCTTAATCCAACCAAATCCAATATAAATTTATTACGGACGGACCAGGTCTAGTC